GAGGATTTATGAGAAGTGCACGTTTGTAGCACAAAAGAGTTAGGTGCTCTAAGCGACATCGATTGGCAATAAATATCGCGCGAGGTGCGAGCAACGCCGCGTGCAACACTGTAGCTGTTGCGGCAAAGAATCACGTCATAAACCCGACGCCCGTCCATAAAGTGAAATTCATAATACAAATTTAGCGTAAGGTTTTCGTAGGAAAAGCAATAATTTGTCACAATTGGGCGCGATTAGATCGGCTCCGGCGGCGATTTAGCATACGTCGTAAATTACTGGTTAACCGACCGAATCGAGTGTACAGACGGTGTGTACATTGGTTGTGATTGTGGGGGGTTTTTGACTCGGCAGGGTGCTGGCATGGCGCGGCCGGTCGGACACACGCGCGTCGAATGCGTTTTCTGCCGTCGCACGGGGCGCGGTTTGTGGAAATCATTATTAGGCTGATCGCTTTCATAAACAATAGCTTTTGTCCGCCGCTTCTCGCAACCGAGTTGTTATTTGTCCGGATAACGGGTCGCTTTCCGCCGGCTCCGTGTCTGATAACACGTTCCGCGTCTCTGCAATTCCGTTTAGAAACTATTAGCCGTTGGCGGCGGTGGGGGTCGCGGGGAAAGGCGCGGGTCGTGCTTTATCATTAGCTCGCTCGATCAGCACGCGATCGCACATTTGCCCTTTGTGCATGTTTCCCTTCCCAGTAGTAATAATTTTAATGCTACACCTATTACCTATATCTTGGAATATTATAAAAGTACCGTGTTATTTGAATCACCCTGGGGTTAAATGTAAAATATTGATATGCACTTGTAATATTTAATATAATTACATAACTTCATAGCAATTTTTCTGCCCTTAGTCTGTTATCTTTATTGATTATATATCTAAAAATGTATTGTCAAAAAAATTAGAAATAATGAACATTACATTACTGTCATGTTTTAACCTTTAAATATATATCAGCGTAAAACCCTAAGGATGACTTTATTTATCTCATTTTCCTCATTTACTTTTCCATCGCATCATCCGAAGTTGCCTTAGAACGTTGAAACGGCAATTAATCTCGACAGAGGCGACGTTTGCCCCCCTCTGCCAAGCCCCCTATCTGCTAAGCCTCCCCCCGTTCCAGATAACTCCATGATTAAGTGCAGACGGGTAAGCGTACTGACAAATAGGCGTTTAGGCATTCGTTAATGCCTCGCTCTCGTCAATAAACGATCGCTTTGCCCGAGTTCTCTCCCCTTCTACATAACTTATGTGTACATATCTTGTTTGAAGCCTTATTGATTGTAATAAATGAGATGCGAACATCCAGAGTCTCTTTTAGGTACAGAATGAAATTAGTAGTATTAGAACAATAGCTGTTGCTCGCGACTTCGTCTGCGTGCATTTAAAAATGTAAGAAATATAGCCTATGTTACTTAGTGATAGCGTAGCTTTTTACTAGTGATTTAAATCGGTTCAGTATTTTTTTTACTTATAACAGTGAACCTCGATATGTTAAAGTCTAAGAGAGACACAAAATATTTTAAGTTATATAGGTTTTAAGTTATCAAGGGTCTGTGTTATAGAGGTTTTGTGCTCTGATGGGAAGGGAACATATTTTTTGAAGTTATAGAGGTTTTTATGTTACCGAGGTTTAAGTTATCGATGTTTTACTGTATTACAAAATAAACAAAACTACAAAAATACAAAAATACAAATCCTTTATCTTTATAGTATTAATATATATAAAGATGTAAATTTTGTGCATAACTTCATACGAGTATATGTACATACATCTCTACAACACTAGAAAGCGTGTTAAAGTTCGACGTCACGTAATCCCGGCGTTGTTTAGCCGCCAAATTACTGTAAATCAAGTGTTAAGTGGCGCAAAGCGTCCGCTAGTACCGCTTCCGTGGCCACCTAGCGGCGGGCTCCGGCAACGCGCCTCGTAAACCGCCGATCTGTGCTCGTAAATCATCGATCTTGCGATGCGATGCGATACGATTTGGCACGCTCTCCCGGCTTTACGGGTTTTACGGATCTTACGTGCTTTAGGAGTTTTACGGCCCTTACCCGCTCCGGCTGTAAAGGGTTTTACAGCAGGAGCGGGCAACGATCTGACTTACGGCGCGACGCTCGCCTGCCGAGCTCGTTTCCTTGTCGTTGGTGTCGCTTTGATGTGCTAACTCCTTGTCTTGTCGTGTTCGTAACCTGAAAACTTCTGGAATGAATTAAATGAAAGTCACATTGTAATTCGAAGAAAATGGCTAATGTGACCATTACAAAAATACTACTTTTATTAGAGGCTATCTTTGAAATCTGGAATTATCTTGACATCTTTTGTTGTAATTCAATTTGTTTAAATGTTTATTACTTTTTTAAAACAATAATCTTCCAAAACAGTCTGTAGTAGGTACTTCAGACATTTCGTTCACTTAAACAAGAACGGAAATTGAATAAGTGTATTGTCTTTTAGTAACTATAATAAATTTTTGAACCTTTTCCAACTATACCTTTTGTCTAAGATAAAGTTCCATTGTTTCAGGCACTCCTATAAACCGGCTGCCGATAATGGCGAAGTCCGTGCTGGACCTGTATGAGCTATACAACCTGGTGATCGCCCGCGGCGGCCTCGTCGAGGTCATCAACAAGAAGCTGTGGCAGGAGATCATCAAGGGCCTGAGACTTCCATCCTCCATCACTTCTGCAGCATTCACATTACGTACACAGTAAGTCTTCTACTTTCACCCCAGGGTAATAACACAGAACAGTACACATAGCAGTACTGCTTTGTATATGTTAACTGGTTAAATAGAATTCTTTTTTGCTCTATAAGCCTTTTTGGGGTTTGACTTAGTCTAGCTAGTCCAAATAGCAATGTTTAATTAAATCGATTTTCTTATTCGATGTTTGTATTTAAATGTACAAGTGTATTTTGCTGTAAAGTTTGCAGATGCTTATTCCCAGCCGTATAAAATGCACTTCCACATGCGTTACTTACGCGACTTAAAATAGACGTAGAACGTAAACATTAACTACTCACTTGACATTAATGTTTCCATGTATCCTGAATTCGTTTTACGCCATTATACCGTATAGATTTATTTGTTGCTTCGGTTACTATACGAGTGTTCTAATATACATCTAAAAAGGTTCCTTATATTTGTGTGGTCCTAAAACAAGCCGGGAGCTTGGTGTTCGACTCTCTTTGTACATTGAAATTCTCACGAGCTGTAGACAAAGCGTCTTCGACAATAGCCACGTACATACGTCCAGCGCGACAATATGACAACTCCATAATTAATATCCTCTAACTCATCTCGGCCGATATAATTTCCTATTTATCATTCAACGCAGTTCCTTCACCTCGTCTATTGTCGGGCCAACATAAAGGTGTGTTACATTTAGAATTCAAAGTGGGCCCGTTACGCATGACGTGTGGATTTCCAGTCTGGTTTGTGATGTCTGGCTACTTATTTGTATGTATTTCTGCGACTACTGTTTACTGTTGCGTATATTCTCTCAATGTAGATGAATCATGAGAATTTTATTAGGGCTTAAGGTAAAAACTAGGATACCATTATTGTCAACAACTATAGAACATTTTATTAGCACAAAAAATTTAGACTGTTAAGAAAGTGTTTTAATTCTGACCGTCGCTGATTGATAATATGGACAATAATTTGATTATATTTTTTACCATAATTATTTAGTGTTAGTGTTATAATATTTTAGTCGCGCTGTCTCATTTTTTTATAGTTTGGTCGGTATTCTTGTCTCTATTTAAAGAGAACGAGAGCGGCGATAGTATACTCGTAGTCAAAAGGTCCTAAACGTCTATGATGTCTAGAGTTCAGACATCAATAATTTTATTAATCTCAAACTTTTACATCTAAGAAAATGTCGTCTCATACGTCGTTGACCGAGCATTAAACATTAACGTTGACGAGCATAAACCGTTAATGACGAATGTCGTATAATTTAACTCATCCATTTGACAGTTTATGAAAAGGTAGCCAGTTTTTATTCAGGTCGGGCGAGTCAAAGATTCTCATTGTGTTCTCGCATTAAATATGTGAACAGCTCTTATGACTGATGGTAACGAACAGTTGACAATGTGCTCTATAAAATTGACTATTTAAAAGGATTAGGGATGTAATAGCTTGTTCTATAAATGCTACGTTTGATCTTCATTGAGTTTAGATATGATTTAAAGGCTTGTCACTGAAAAGTACAAAGAAGGCGGCATTATAATATTCATTTTGTATTATACTGCTCGAAGATATGTGACAATACTTATTGTTGATTTGGGTGTTTGTCGAAATGCCGAAACTTGTCTATATCAAGGTTTAAAATATAGTTTAACTAGACCAAATTTAGATGAAAAAGTAATTAGCAGGTTTGGTAAATTTACTGACTTTTACCTGAACAACAAAGGACACAATAACGTCCACTATAAAGTCAATTTAGATGCGAAAAAAGTACATCTTCTTTGTATTTTGTCTTTTTATCCTATCCATACAACTCCATCGTTGATGAGTGATACCTTAAGTTGTTAATTATTGTTTATTAACTGTATTATTTTTGTTATTTACAGATACATGAAGTATTTATACGACTACGAGTGTGAGAAGAAGAATCTATCGACGCGCAGTGAGCTAGACGCGGCTATCGAGGGTAACAAGCGCGAAGGCCGGCGTGCTTCGGGGCAGTACGACGCACAAGCTGCGCTCGCCATGGTCAGTACTACATAAGTTAACTTCACCACACAAAAGGAATGAATGATATGACTTGTCCCTACAGCAAAGCGCATGGCGAATGAAATTCACCAAACCGCGCTTACGCTATTCGGTCTGTATGATCTGAGGATTGGTGTGCTAAAGTAGATTTACTTACAGACAGAAGATATAATCCCAAATATGGTTGACGACAGGCAGGCCGGCCCAAAAATTAGGTTTTTGATAGATCAAAAAGAGAGTGATGTCTAGATGACGTATGATAGAGTTATGTGGAGTACAAAAGCCTATTGCGCTGACCTTATGGGAGTAGGATAGGGAGATAGTAGGATTGGGCGGATGATGATGATAGAAGAATAATTAAGACGAGTATTAAAGTGCATGTTGTATCGTTACAGCCGTCGTTAAACCGTGGGGTGTCGCTGTCGATGCCACTAGCGCAGCCGCTGGCGCTGCCGCTGGGCGCGGTGCCGCGGCTGCCGCTGCACGCGCCGCATCTACACTCGCACGACATCGAGTACCGCGTGCGAGAGTACATGAAGATGATACAACAACAGAGGGACCTTATTAGAAACGGTATGTACATATAAAATACGGGAGTTGTTCACGATTTAAAAAAACGTAATCCGAAAAATGTGAAAAATGTGACGTCCATCAGTGGTGGACGGTATCAATAGGTTGCTGGTTCAAATCCGGCTCATAGGACCTTGTTTAAATAAGAATAATCTTTTTTGGTAGGTTTTTGCATATTAAATTCTATACTTCAGTTTTATCGTTATTCTTATTTGAAGAAGCGTTTCGCTGCGGCGACCACGCAATGTACACCCGTGTCGACACGTGGACGTCGTGTGGTAGCCTCAGCTCTTCTTAAAATTTTAAATCGTCTTTTGTTTAATTAGTGCCTAATCATTATATATGATGTTAAATGGCGATGCCATTGAAGATGTTCACTAAGCATTTGGATCTTTATCCTTCTGTAAAAGGAACATTGAACCTAGTAATTACTTTTATGCTATTGTCGAAACTCATGTCATTTTCATTTGGTTTGGTTTATTCTTTCGTTCGAACTTAATATTAATTCAATATCTTACAGTACTCAGCTGCTTGAATGTTATTTCAAAGCTACTAGTTGAATCTTACTTTTAACTGATATTTGTTAGAGTTGGTAGCCTAAACTGCTGAACGGATTTAGATAGAAGTTGGCATAGATTTAGAAGATAGTTAATCTGGTAGAACACCTACACTTACTTTCGCGGAGGAAATCTAATTGATAAATAAATGTGTTACACAGGTTCGGAGTCACCTCCCGGCAACGGCGGTACGATGATGTCGCCGCGAGAGGCCGCGCTGAGCGCCATCGACGTGTCGCGTCTCACGCTCTGGTCGCTTTACAACAACAACAACAACAGCCCGCAGCCGGACCTCGAGCCGCAGCGGTACGAGTCTGTATTATACTCCATTTTTTTTTACTTTATTTTTAATTTTAAATAGATTTTATGTCTCTCTATCTAAATTAAACTAGCAATAACTTACGAATATACATACTAAGACAAAGAATATACAACGACAACGGAGGCTTTTGACATTGGATAAAAATTACCGTTACCACAGAAACTTTGCTTCCTTGATGTCGGCTTGTAGTTTTTGTCCCTTTCCAGCATGGCAGTTTTTTTTTAATTATCTACTCCCTAAGCTTGATAGCGTGAAAGTATATAGCGTTAAGCATATCGTAAGTGTAGGGCTTTTTATTAAAAAAAGGATTTATTCAAAAATATACTGTGACTGCTGACATCCTACATAACAAAATATATATACACACAAGTAGTGTGTGTTTACGCTTTATTGTATTAGTATAGAATATATAGAAGTATACATTAGGTGTAATACCAAAACCATTTAAAGTAATGATTTCATGTTTATTCCAGTGAGGCGTTGAATCTAAGCGAGAGCCCGAACTCAACCGCGAGCGGCGGCAAGC